AACAAAAATCTTTTTCAGGCAGCACAGATCTCAAAAAACCAAGAACAATATCTTTTTCCAAATAAAAACGCACAGGAAAAGGTAAGCGTTGTTAGAAATTAATCAATTCGACATGAATGAAGGCATAATCATTAGAATTTTTTTCGATTAGTATCAGACAGCTGGATAAACCGATGAAAAAAAATCGCGGCGTAGAAGGAGCAAAAAAATTGGAAGAAAACAGAGAAAAAATCTGTCTGCATATAAAATAGAAAAAGTAAAATATGGAAAAAAAACATATACCAACAAATATTTGTTGGTTATTAATGGTTGTTTTTTTTATTCATTTCAGATGAATTTTGGTTCTCCTTCCTTTTTTCATCTAGACAATTATCACGATTATGATTGTTTTGATTTTGTAATGACTCATGTTGTACTAAGGGTTGAGACTTTCTCTATCAAAAGATCCAAAAGCTTATGAAAAAAATTGTCTCACTCAAGGGTGGATGTAGGTTTTTCTTCGAGGGTGTGGGAAAAATTTTGACGATTTTTTTTCAGGTTGAACAAAGTGATTTTCCGAGACTTCAAAGCATGTGATACATTTCTCCGTGCCGCAGGCAAATTTTTGATTCAAAGGCCAAAAAAAACGTTTCGGCAATTTTTGAATATTTTTGATCAAAAAATTGCATTTTTAGGAGCTCTTCGCCCTCAAAAGTAGTATACATTGGCGCCAAAGACGCCTGTAGAAACGTTTTAGGGTCCGTTCGCCAAAACTGGTTATCTCGAACAGTACAAAGGGGGACCTTGAGAGACGGCAGGGGGTCAAACCCATGAGAGGGGCGTCCGCCCAGACCCCTCCCTACATCCGCCCTTGGTCTGACTTTTGTCTAGAAGCATGTTTGCCTGTGTAACGAAATGATGGAAATTTTCTGCAAATCATCAACTTGTTTAAGTTTTTGATTCTTATCGGTTAATGATTTCGTAGCCCTAAGCGTTTTTAGAGCGTCTGACGTATGAAAATTTTAACAATTTTCTAAGAAAAACAAAAAAAAACGAAAATGTCTTCTAGTGAATTCATTTGAGATTGCTCGACAAGCTTTAGAAATAGAGATTTTGAAAAAAAAATTACATGAGGTTTTTCCCCGGGTAAGTGATTGAAAAAAAGTGATATGCATACGCTTGTAAAAACATGGCTGAGATAGAAATCACTAAAACGTAATTTTTTATTTAAATCAAACCAAAACTTCATAACATACAATTCATAGGGAAAAGACAAGAAGAAGAACTAGGATTGTCAGTCAAAAAAGTTACTAATTACATATTGGTCAGAAAAACTGAAATTGATCAAACTCAGATAAAAGTCATTAGGACAAGATTTTTTAAAATTTTGAGAAAAGGTGGATACTTTTGACGTTTTTACAAAGTAACTCAACAGGCAAAACAGTCAATTTGTTTGAATTTTAGGCTTTCCAATTGTCAGTTGCGAAACTTGAAACAAGGATTCAAAATTGATTTTAATAAAAACAGTAAAAACAAAAAAAACAAATCAGATACCAGAAAATATAGGTATGTTGTAAATCAGAGAGCCTACTACCTGTAAAATTAGAAACTCCACCACATGTATTGAGATAGTCATTGCAAACTTGGAAACAACAGCATCAGGTTTCAAACTGGATATCAGTAATTATATTACACTATTCGTTCTTTGTGGAAAAGCGATGGAAAAAAAGATCAAAAACAGAAATACATTTTAAAAAATCTTGAAACATTTAAATCAAACGTTCAAAAATTGATTTTGCTACCTTAGTCGTAACTGATTTGCAGACAAATGAAAAAACCACCGAAGAGGAATTTTTCATCATAGATCAATCAACGAGTCAAGACAAAAACTGTCATGAAAATTCGTCAAACCTAAATACTAGTCGAAATTAAAAATTGAAGAACTCATGGAATGCAAGGATATAAAGTCAAATCTTTCAGTTTATCATGCAAACGTCTGACTTACAAAACCAGATAACAGTCCGTTGACAAATCAGTATATCTTTGAAAGATCACAGCACAATCATCGCAAAAGGAAAAATTGCAAAAAAAGTTTGTCAAAACAAAACAAAAAGCTCAAAACTAGTAAAGATAGTGGGGCTGTCAAAAACACATATCATCGACCAACTCAAATTTAAAACTAAAAACCAATTAACTGGTAGATTGTTTTGGCAATGAAACTTATTTGATGACATAAACAGGCTTTTTTGACACCTATGACCAATAAAGCATTTTCGAAAATAGTTTCTAAGCTTGTCTGAAAAAAGCTATAGTAATTCAGTTTTACATAATTAGCGGTCAACTTTTGATTGCTCCAACTATCGTTGAAGCAATTTTCAATTTTCTCAATTTTCAGAAAGTTTTCAAAAATTGATTCCTTTCCTCGAAAATAAACTTCAGTCGGAAGTGCATTATGATTATAATGCACTCAATTATGAGTCTCTTGGCAAAATAATAAGAAACTAAAATTGAAAAAAGCATTAGTGTCCTCAATGACTTAGAAAAAATTTTTACGACAATTCCACCTGAGTTATTGTCAACGAAAAATTTGACCACTGTATGATTTACTAACGTAATATTGAGGTGAAAACCAGCAACCTATACCGATAGTTCTGATCAAAGCAAAGTGGAAGGGAAGAAAATTTTATAATTTGTACTGACGAAAACAAAACTATTTGAATAGTCAATATTGTTTGTTTCTTAATTACACTTTAAGTTTTAAAGAGCATGTCGAGAAGCTGGTGAGAAAAATCGCGCCTTAAGCTCTGGGATTCTCTTTTCACTGAAAAAATAAATAGCAAGAAAACGCTTACTTGAAGTTTACAACCATTATGTTAGGCTGGTGTTAGAATATTCACGGCATCGGCCAGCTAAAACTTTTTGAAAAAATAGAACACAAACCGTCGCTTCACATGAAAGATTTGCGTGACTTTCAAAAAGATGACAGCATGTATAAAACATAATGTAAGCCTTGTGAATATAAATGTTTTTTTTTTAAAGTAGAAACGGGATTTCCTGTTCTTTCTAAGGTAAACACTTAAATTATACTTAAAAATATATTATTTACTCTTCTGGTTCGTTAATAGTATCTTGAGAATCACAATGTTTTGTGTAACCCATTGATTGTTGATTAGTTTGTCATTTTCATGATATCATGATAACTGAAAGTTGTTGCTCATTTTTTGCGTCATTAAAGCAGTCATCCAGACCTGATAAACTCTTACCTTTTTAAAGTATGCAAATGAATGAATACAATTTTTTATTTTCCAGAATCAAAGGGAAAGAATGCTTCAAGCTGTCAGAGCTGAAAGTCCCAGTTTGTGAATTAGCGCCGAATCACCTCTGAATAAGGATTGGTTTTCAGAATGAACACTGCACTATTTCTGCAGCTTCTCTAATTTTTGATCTTTTCGGTGTGCATATAATTAAAAGTCCATAAGGTGATCAAATCCTCTTTTTTCAGATCTCTTGTCGCATACTTATTTTCCCGGCGTTACTTGAAGTCCAATTAACAACTGATTACACCATAAGAGCTCGGAAGAGTAAGCAGCAAAAAATGTATCATTTGAGCCCGAAACATAAAACTGACAAAAATTTTTTAGAGATTCATTGACAAAAAATTACTGAGTTTTGTGTAACTGAAAAATTATACGTACGTAAAATTTCCAAGGTTATACCCGTGTTGACCGTTATAGACAAAAATGTTGTCATACATTTCATTAAACTAAGTAAATGAAAAAGTACTAGTCAGACAAATTTCGAACAATTTGCTAAAAAGGTGTCATCGATTTCTCAAAGATTTTTTTGTCAAGTAGTTTTGAAATTGTCCCAAATTTTTTGAAGATTTTTCAACTGCAAATCGAATTTTGTACTAAATCAAAGATTTTCCTAAGAAGTTTTCTTGCGGGCTTTGTATGCCTTGATCGATGTCTGATTTTTTAAAACTCAAATTTTGATAATCATCATCTTTAAAAAATGTTTGCCAAAATTTAAATGTTTGATGCGTTCAGTATGTGATTTTTGTAAGAAAACTCTTATACAATTTAGGTTTTTCCACTGTATTGTATATGCCAGACAATCAAATCTTTGGTGACTCTTATTTTGAGTAAACTATGGTTTTCGTCAGTTGTGTTCGGTCACGAACACATCACAAAAATTTTGAGAAATTAATATTTAAAAAAAAACATATATTTTGGTTTAGGGAAAAATACTAGTCAATTAATCTCCATATATGAAAACTCACTGATCATAGATCTTTCATGCAGTTTTCGGTACGTATGGAATTGCATGAAAAGTGTATGATTAGCAATTTTCCATATACATAAATAGTATGATTAGCATTTTTGGTCAATTCTAGGATTCAGGAAATTATCTATGAAATTACACTACCATGAGGATAAAAGTAGTTTTGAACGCTAAAAACATTACGAGGCTAAACTGCGCCATCGATAGTTGCACGATTTTGTGTCTGTATGTTACTGGATACCAGAGACAAGCTTTTAAACATGTTAAAATTTCGTCGGAACGGCCAAAGAAGAAGAAAGAACAAATGAAGGACAAAGGGAGTGCCCTTGTCGCGGAATGCGCTTACAATTCACAAAATGCACATTTTGGTTTCCTAAATGAAAACAATTATTTATTAAATCCTGATGAATTTTTTGCTTTTCTTACCATGTTTTTCAAGCAGTTTGGGCTATTGAACAAACTCTATTAGGTTTACATAGAGGTGTCCAAAAAATACAAGTCATGCGAGAAGTCTATACAAACTTGATTGTCCAATTTTAAAAATCCTAGCAGCCATGCTTCTTAAAGTTTCATTCTAACTTTCCATAAATACAAGTCGAAAACATCAGTTGTTCAGTTTTACACTGGTGTTCAGCGAGTGTACGAACTGCTGATGTTCAACTTTTGGTGAATATGGTTTTAACTGAGTATAGCTGAGTACTCAACTTTAGGTTATAACTGAGGGGATGAAAACAAACCTGATCCACCGTTTCCTTTATTTGCAGTTGTGACAGTGATAGATTGTTTTCTCAAGCTGTCAACCGTCTGACCTTTCAAATCACGTTTGCATTTCTCAGCAGGGCAGCGCTTGCCCGCCCTAGCGAGAACTTTTGCAGCACAGGGCGACCCGCAAACCAGATGACCGCACGGAAGCACTTTGGTGTTTTTAGGAGGCACATTTTTCAGGCACTCGACACAATTGAGTTGGTTTTTGGACGTTCCAATTGAAGCGGACATTTCTTTACTCTATAGTTCTTAGATCGACTAAAACGACACACAGTTTTAGTACCCATATCAATGGTAGTTCGAAAACTAAATGAAACTTATAAAAAAGTAAACATTTATTTCGATAGAGTGAAAATCATAAGTAAGATTTACATTAAAATACCAGAGGTTTTAAATTTTGACAGGATAGAGTTAACAAAATTGTCAAAAAAGGCAAACTAGATTTTGGTTTTTTGTTAAACATTGCTTACCTGTCAGTTCAAAACAGTATGATTTAGCTTACGAGTTTAACAAAACCGTGCTCTCGTTAAAAGCGACAAGAAAATTTTATACAATATTTTAGTTATTCTTTAAAAAGATTAGTGGTCGTTCGAACATTTTACGCAAACGTGTTTCAAATTTTCAAAACACACCGAGTCTGCTTATAGTTGAACATTGAGCCAGCTTCATTAATTGAGCTCTGCCGTCAAAGTACGCCATTATATTGATAATTTTTGGCTTCAAGTTTTGTTAGAGTAGGAAAATCAGCCTTTTGTTAACGTGTCACTGTATTTTATTCTAATTATCTTGTATAAAACTGAAAACTGCAAGTTGCATGATACACTAGATATTAGGTAATTGTAACAACCTGCTAACTACTGATTCGAAACAGAACGTACAATTAGTTATTTTTCCTCAGTTTTGGAGTAAACCTAGTTTACCCTATAACAATCCAGGCTCGAAAAACACAAAGAAAAACAACAAAGCAATGTCAAAACAATTTCTCAGCCTTGGGGGAAAATGTACCGAGCCTTTTTTGTATTACATTAGAAAAAAACGCTATTTTTCCGATGCTTTGATACGAGCACTCTTGTTATTACGTTACTACTCGCTAAAAGCATCACTTTTCTAAAACATAACTTAGCAACCAAAAAGCCAAATTTCGCAAATTGCTTTGAAAAACAGTTTGCTTACCTGACTGCTCAACAGCGAGAACAAATTTGCTGAGGTGTTTAAATTTAATTTTTCGTTTTATGCAACACAACAAGAAGGTTTTATGCAGTAAAAAATGTTTTATGAAAAATTGTTAGTCTTTCAAACAATTTTAAACGTGCTTCGGATTTTCAAACCACATGAAATTTAAATGATTAAACTGTATTTTTGCTTGAAAAGCTTACGCTCTACCATCAAAGTCAACCTTTTTAATTTATGTAATACTTGACTACTTCATTCTTTCTGATTAGGTAAAGAAAAACATGCCCTGTGATGCAGTGCCACAGTAATTTTGGATCGAATCAAAAATTTAATGGTCGAATCAAAATGCTTTCGAAGTTAGTAAATTTTATGAGTTGAGGCTCAAAATTGCTTACCTGGCTGCTCAAAAACGAGAATAAACTTGCTGAAAAAATATTCAGAATTTAAGTTTTCGTTAGTTTTATACAAAACAACAAGAACGTTTTATGCAGTAAAATAACTTTTATGAAAAAATGGTTAGTCGTTCAAACAGTTTTCAAACGTGCTTCGAATTTTCAAACCACGTGAAATTTAAAGCTTAGATTTCAATCTTGTGTTAGAAAATTACGCTCTACCATCAAAGCCAACTCTGTTTGTCTTAATATTATTTGTTTACTTGATTCTTTCTCATAAAGTGAAAAATTTGTCTTGTGTTGCATTGCCACAATAATTTTGGATTGAAAATCAAATTTTATTCCTGAGAGGGACATTTTTTTGCTATTATATGAGATGCTGAGAGGGAGGGGTAAAATGAAGTAGAAAAAAAAGGCCCTTTAAAAAGTAACTGAAATGAAAAAAGGACTAGAGGCAAAATTGAGAGGTTTTATAATTGTCTTTTTCACTGGAGGGAACGCTCACCAATCTACAAAAATCAGGTGAAAAGGGTCCGGACGAATACATGTCGAAATAACTTAAATATTAGCTGTTGGAACCAGTGACAAAAAGAAAAATTGACTGCGGCATCCACTGACAATTTGTGGAGTCCAGTGACAAAAAAGAACAAGCTGATTGCGGAACCAACTGACAAACAATGAAATCAAATACAATTTTGCTTCAATGCGCCCCGACTGCAAAATGCATTTTTTCTGCGGAACCCAAAACAAAACATGTCTTTGCGTTTGTCTCCCAATTCTGCATTGCCACTGGATTTCAAGTTTTGGCCGGCTAGTGGTTAAACATTTTTCCTTCGGTTCCAACTTCAAAGGTTTTTCGGATTGTTGCGGAATCCATCGCAATTTATGTGGATTTCAGGGTCATGTATGCGAAATCCAAACAACTACCAAAGTACCCGAGCTTGGAAACGTAATCTACCTCGTCAATGTTTCCAGCACAGCTTTTTGATTTTCATTTTGTTGAACGGTTTTGGTGTCATCATAATAACTGTTACAATTTATTTACTGGAACTTTCTTCCGGATAGCACGGAAATTAAATCATATTCCAAGCAACTATATTTTTAAAGGGTTAATGCCCAGTTTGACCTCCATAGACCAAAAATGTTAATCAATAAATTCCATATACTAAATCTATGAAAAAATACCAGTTAAACAAAATTCATAAATTTTGCTAAAATGGTGTCATCGAATTTTAAAAAAAAAACTTTTCTTTTGTGTGGCATAAAAGCCGGTGTATGGTACTAAAAAAACTTTTTGTCAAAAGAAATGCTACTCCTATATTTTCCATATTTGGAAATTGTATGACTCGCATGATTTATTTAAAATTGAATCAAAGTTTTTTTGTGTTATTTTTCGAGAGTAAGCCATGGTTTTTGTCACTTGCATTCAATTACGAACACAACCCAAAGTTTTCAGAAATTAAACTTAGGCAAGAATAATTTTTGGTTTATGGAAAATTACTTGTCATACAGTTTTCATATACGGGAAAATGCTTATCATAGACATTTCATACAATTTTTGTTTGTATGGAATTGTATGGAACTGTATGGTTAAGAAGTTTTTCATGTAGGGAAATTGTTTATAAGAAGTTTTGGTCAACCCGGGATGTTGCACGAAAAATGTTGGTGTTGAAAAACCGAAAAAAAAAAATAGAACAAAAAAGTTATATCGAAGAATACTGTAAAGTTCAATCAAATAGAAGATGAAGAGGTTTATGAAAATAAATATATTGAGTCAGACGTTAAAACCAAGAAAGAGAAGTTTTTACCAGGTAAATTCAAGATTGAATCAGTTGTTTATCAATTACGCAGAGTACAAATAGAGTAAAAGAAAATTCCGTGATGTGAAAAATTTAACATTTCACGTTCCGAAAAACGCATGGTTCAGTTTGCTGGGAAAAACAAAAAGTTCCCATCGAGCATTACCTCTGGACAGGTGAAGGAGCCTGGAAGGTTCAATCACAGATAAATTAATTTTCGTACGGGTTTGAAAGAGAAAAAAAAGTTGTTGACGGGAAAAATTTTTGTTCTGGATTCTAAGACACTAGCGAGTCAACAATTTTTCCCGTCAACAACTTTTTTTTCTCTTCCAAACCCGCACGAAAATGAATTTATCTTTGATTGAACCTTCCAAGCTTCTTGATGTAAATCCAGAGATGAAAATCCAGTAAACACCAACAAATGCGTTGTGTTTATAATTTCTACGTGTTTTATTTTTTCACAAAAAAACTGATTTGTCTCATATTTGATACAGAACAAAACGAAAACATTGATTTTGCACATAATTTTAAAGAAAATGTATAATCGAATAACAAACCATGAGAACGGTAATTGACTGCAGTCTTTTTTTTGTCATTTCGAGTTAATTGGACCATCCCCTCTACCGCCAATGGATCTGTGATTTTACCGAGGGACGTTATTCGAAATTTTTCTCAACTTTTCTGTTTCAGTTTGCTCAATATCATTTTCCGAGGTCTTTCCCAAAACATTGTAGCACGTGATAACTAAATTCGCCCTCAAACAAATTTTGGGTTTATTTGATAATGGGTTGTCGTAGAACGGTAGCAAATAGGGGAGCAACCCTTTGAGTTGTGAGGGGTCGAACCTTTTAGGGAGAGTTCTTCCATCATCTGCTCTTCCCCCTAAGACTTGCGCATCTGAACAATTGATCCCAAGTTTCAATTGAATTCACGATATCATGAGTCAGTGTTTTGACAGCCTTGGGACAAAAGATGAATGAATAGGCTCAAAGTTGACCCTCCCGTTCTTGTTGTTCATTGTTTTGAGTTAATCGCCTGAGACTTTAGAAAATCCTTATATAACAAAACTTAACGGGCAAATCATCAAATATTTATTTCATCTCTAACACAAATCCTAAGCAGCAACTTTCAAACAAAATGTCAGACACAGATTCTTCATTCAATGCAGCTGAAACATTTTGCCACGAACTAGCAACTGGCTATCTTTGTAAATCCAGAGATGAAAATCCAGTAATTGTTCCAATTGGTGTATATATCTGTCTGTGGATGCTGAAACGGGGTCTAGGAGGTTCAACTAAAAAAGAAATTGAGTCCGCGTTGGGAATTAAAAATCCAGTGACCAAAAACGTTGCTAAGCAGATTATCAATGCTTTAAATGAATCTTCTGGCACTGAATTTACCTTGAAAACAGCAAACGGCCTATTTGTTCATGAAAATTTTAGACTTTTTCCAAACTTTGTTCTACATTTGTTGAACAATTTCGGTGCGAGCGTAAAATCGGTGCAATTCGGTTCAAAGGATGGTGAAAAAATAGTCAATGATTGGGTCGCAGAAAAAACCAATGGGGCGATTCAGAATATTCTAGAAAGAAAGTCCATTGACGACAAAGTCGCACTCGTAAACGCAATTTACATGAAAGCTAAATGGGTTCAGCCTTTTGATAAAGAGTTGACAACCATAGGCGCGTTTGTAACTCCAAGTCGTTATGTCAAGATTCCAATGATGCGCCAAACCGGAAAGTTTCTGTACTTAGAGGGAAACAAATGCGCTTTGGCATTCTTTCCGTATCAGAATTTAAATCTAGAAAACTCCTGGGAATTGGGAGTAGTTAAAACAGATCCTAGCGTGAATCCCACGACTATGTTGGGATATTTGAGAGCAGACGCGCTGGAAAAACTGAGATCAAGATGTGAAATGAGAAACTTGGACGTGAAATTGCCCAAGTGTAAAATCGAGACTTCAGTTGATTTGGGGGCAGTCCTGAAAGATGTATTTGGGATACGAGAGGTGTTCGATCCAGATCAAGCAGACTTCTCAGGAATGAGGTATTATTCTCTTTTTTTTTAACCCAGCTCATTTTTAAGAATTCATCTGGTAATTGAAAGAAAACCAAAAAGAATCGCAAACTCCTTAATTTTAGGGAACCTTAAGAAGGTTTCAAATCTCTTCAAGCTCCTGAATAAATCAAATAAAAGTGGTGAAGTCGTGTTTGAAACTTTCAATTAAGAAAAAGTATTTTGAAATTTATATGCACTTCTAATTATTGTAGAAATCTGAAACATGATGTATTTTCAATTGATTTTTTCAGTGCCTTCACTTCTAAACTACATCTTAGCAAAGCTACTCAGAAATGCTTCATCCAAATTGACGAAGAAGGAACGGAGGCCGCAGCTGCAACCTCACTTACGATTTCAACTCGATCGCCGGCTACGATGCAACTCATCGAGAGGTTCCACGTAAATTCGCCATTCGTGTACTTCGTATATCAACCGAAAAGTGGAATTGTGTTGTTTCAGGGAATAATGAATGATCCGAGTATTTAGAAAAAAAGAAGAAACAAGCAGTTTATTTATTCAAATGTTTGATGATATATAAACAAATGGGAAGAATAACTTTGAACAATCTCTTCTCTGGTGCTTAAATTTGACCTTGTTAACAATTAACACTACCTCTCTCACAATGGAACCAATGGTTAAGCATAGACAAATTTTGAATCTTGTATCGAATCCCCTTATGGAAAAAAGTGGGTGGGGGGGGGGGGGGGTTAACAAGACTTATTTAAATGATATCGCTTACGAAAAATCATCAACCAGACCAGCGCTTATTAACTTCATGAGATGCAAACTTCAAATTTTTAGCTAGTCAAATTGATGTACTTCTGAATGCAAGACTGGGCCAAATAATGTATCATATTTCGAATTGATTTTTAAAACTTTCCCAATGGCAAAGAGTGGTTTTTATGGTGTTGATTTTTTTATGATTTATCTAAAGCAAACTATTTTCTTTGAGTTTTTTTCGGCTAATTTGAAAGTGGTCGGAGCCTTCTGAGCTACTTGGGCAGTGGACAGTAACCAACTATTCCAGTTTTGTTTCTCAATTATTTCGTTTTCCTATTTAATCATAGATGCGGTCAACTTTTCTCATTCCACATAAAAAATTTTGGGTTTTGACTAGATTAAATTTTCTTTCTCCAGATCTGAGTTGGAAAAAAGTACCATGGAAACAATTGTTTTGATTTAATTTGTTTTAAATCATAGATTTGGGCAGATATTATATCAATAATTTTGTACGTTCCGTCATAATTTACTTGCAACGTTTATAGAGCTTGGCTATTAGGGTTTCAAATGCTTTTTGAACCCCTTTGTGATCAAATTTTGAAATTTTGAGCATTATTTTCTCATAGCTCGTTGCTTCGTAATGGTAGAATTTTGACATCAAATCGAGCTGGTCGAAAACATTCTTCACTTTTGCGATTTTTGATTCGTCGAAATAGCCATAGTTTTCTGCAAGCAGTTGTTTTTGTTCATCATTGCAATGCTTCAGAGCTTGTACAACTAGCCAAGAACATTTGTTATCTTGGATATCAGTGCCGATCTTTCCAGTTACTGCTGGATCTCCATATAAGTCAAGAAAGTCATCTTGTATTTGGAAATACACGCCTGAACATTCGAATGATTAATTACAATAGTTTTTCTACTCTATTTTTTGTCCGACCCGCGCCAGTTTCAACTCACGACCACCTTTTAGCATACCCTGAATTGCTTACAAGTTATTTTTGCTTACAAGTTATTCTTGCTTTACAAGCAATGCTCACGTTGCTCAACAAAAACTATTCAAAGTTGTTCGCAAGAAAGTTTTTGAAGATGAGCTGTTTTTTTTTCTAGAAAAAAACTAGTCTGTTTTTAAAGTCAGGCGATTTTTTGCTTACATTAACAGACGTTTTTTTCCAACACCATTTTTTGCGTCCAAAAATGACAGTTAAAACAGTTGCTTTAATTTCTGTGTTAAGAAAAATTGTAACTTGAACTTGGTTGGTTTGATTGTCCAAAAAAAAACAAAGCTGTCTTGTGCGTACCATTTCATTTTTTGTATATGATTCATAAAATCAAAAATATGGTTATGAAAAGAGTTTTTCTTTGAAGCTTCTCAGCTTCTCACTAATATTCAGAGGAAGGTTTAGGGAGGGAAAAGGCGGACACCTCTTCTTTCTCAGGGATTCGACCAACTGCCGACCCAAAGATACCCCTAAAAATTTGAAAATTTGCTTGCTGCGCATTTTTTTTTTGGATCTTGAACTGAATTTTAAGGAATCTGACTTTTAAAAAATGGGGTAACTATTAAAATGAATGCATGATTCAAACCTATATCTATTGATACATCTTCAATATCCTTGAGCATCTTTTCGGAGTCAAGACCGCTCAGCAAAACTGCACATACAATTGGGAGATAAATTGAATAAAATGCCGTTTTGTAAGTCGCTATACTGATATAACGCTCCTCCGAAAAGTTATCCAGATTCGGTTTTCCGACTGGCGCTGTCACCAAATCCATTGTTTGGCCTATTGTCGTTCTGTAGACTATTTCCTGAAATACTTCGATGAGCTTCAAGTAGCAAGGTAGTTGGTGGCACTTTGCTGTTATCGACTCTTTTCTTATTTCAAATTTCTCCCAAAATTGAACCTTTTGTAACTTTTCAGGGACCAAGTGAACAATCTCCACCCTTAATCAAATTAGGGGGGGGGGGGGTGTCTATTTGCTTGAAATAATTATTTTTCAGGTTATACTGCTTGGAATTGTCATTTAATTTTAGGAGGGAGATTGTTCACTTGGTCTACTTAGTGGAAGGGGGGTGTTTAGATTGTTCACAAAGGCGGGGGGAGAGAAGCTGATTTGAGTTTTTACTTAGCACCGAATTGAAACTGAATCGTTTTTTTTTAATCAGACGGGTTCTTCTCGGCTCTGAAAAAATTTTTAAGTTCATTGCGACGAAATAAAGAATTAAAACTGAGAAAAGAGCCCTTTGATCAGCTTGTAGACAATCTGCTCTAAGAAGAGAGTGTCATTTATAGCATCAAGTCCAACAGATTCCACTTTGTACCAACAGGGCTTGCCTCTCCTCAGCTCAGAGTGATCCATGATGTCATCCGCAACCAGAAAGAACGCCTGTGTGAAAAAAGTGACCACTCAGAAAAAATCAACTTAGTAAAGGGGAAGATGGATTATTTCTCGCATCAGAATCAAGTATGCTTTAGTAGTGCATCCTTGGTGAAAAAAGTTTTGTTTGATGGATGATTTGAAGCTGCGATCTGTTAGTAGGAGAGTAGAGGACGTTACTTGATCGTATTTCCAATATACTATTAGTAAAGCGAACTAATTATCCTCATTAAAATTGTTATTATTAAGATTAATATGGTTATTAATATTTTTATAAAATGCTTACTATTATGATTATGATTATTATTATTATTATTAATATTAATGATTATGATTATTATTATTATTATTATTATGATAATTATTATCCGCACCGAAGTTTCATGGGTAATAATCGATTATAATGGATTTTCATTGACTAAAATGTTGTCTATTTAATCGATTATCATGGCAAAATTAGACCGCGTAATCGATTTTTAATCGATTATAATCGACTATTTTGGAAAAATTTAAATCCATTATAATCCATTATAATCGATTACAATCAATTTTTGTTTTCAATATTATTATTTGATTATTTTTTAATCCATAAAATCCATGAAAATGAACACGATTGAAAATAGGAAAAAGAGAAATTAGGCGAGAGAACAAAATAACTAACTTAAGTTTAACAAAATTATGAAAAAATGAAAAGAACACACAAAAAAATTTGAATAAATAGATTATAATCCATTATAATCAATTAAAATGGATTATTTTTCTTTTGATAAAATTTTTTGAAAAAACATTGATCAAAATTGATTATAATCCATTATACTGGGATTTTATTGCCTAAAAAATATTATCATTATAATCCATTTTCAATCGATTATAACCGATTATTTTTGTTATTTTATAAAGACTGGCAATGAAAATCCAATATAACCGATTATTATCCATGAAACTTCAGTGCGGGTAATATGATTATTATGATTACAATGATTATTGTGATTATTATGATGATGATTCTGATTATTATTCTTATTATCATGATTATGATTTTTATTATTATGATTGTTATGACTATTATTATGATTATTATGATTATTATTATGATTATTATGATTGTTATGAAAAATTTTATAGTTGTTATGATTATAAGGATTATTCTGATTATTTTTATGATTATTATTGTTATGATTAATACGATTATGATTCTTATGTTTATTATTACTTTTCTGATTATTACTTTTTTGATTATTATTATGATTATTTTTATTATGGTTACGATGATTATTATGATTATGATTATTAGGATTATTACTGTTATTATGATTATTACGATCATGATTATGATTCTTGTTATTATGAATATTAGTATGATTATTATTATGATTATGATTATTATTATGATTGTTATTATGTTTATTATTATGATTCTGATTATGATTATGACTATTATGCTTATTATTATGATTAATATGATTATTTTTGTTATTTTCTTAATGATTATTATGATTAAGATTATGATTATTATTAAGATTATTAATGTTACTTTTGTTATGATTATTACCATGATTATTATTATGGTTGTTATTATGTTTAATATTATAATTAATATTATGATTATAGTAATTATTATGATTCTTATTATGATTATAATTATTATGATTATTATGATTATTAAGGTTATTTTTAATACGATTTTTATCAAGATTATTATGATTATGATTACAATTTTTATGATGATTTTTATGATTAATATTGTGATTATTATTATGATTATTATGATTAAAATTATGATCAGCATCATCATCATCGTTATTATTATGATTATTATGATCATTTTTTCAGTTTTAAACTTGATGAAGTAAATGTAGTAATAAAAACGTGGTTGGCAACGGTTCTTCGCTAAAAGAAGAGCCGGACTTATTAATTTGTAAATGTTGTCTGCAATTGTTTGTTTTTTTGCAAAACTTTTACGCTTTAAATACTTAATCGCGTACTGAACAATTTCTTCAAGTGTTTTTGAAAGATTGTTTCTTATTTACCAACCATCAAAAAATCTAATTTTTCAGCCAAATAAAATGTGTTCAGTTTAAAGCGGCTATTCTTTACCTGCAATATTTCAACTGCCCATCCTAGATATATAGCCTGTTCTGTTAATAAGTGTCTCGCATCAACATCATCGGAAGTATTTCTTCTCGAATTCTCGATTAGCTGGTATGGATCTTTGTTAACTTTTTCCTCTCCCTCTATTACCCCTGACGAAGATGCCAATCGATAGGTAGCTAAATTGCTTTTTAGTGTTCTTCCATGATGAGAATTTTTCATTAGGAGTGGTGTAAAAAAAATTCAAGTCTGCTGCCTTTTAGAAAACTATCTTTTAAAATTTATTGCTAAAGGTTTAAAATTTGCTACAAAGTAGAAAACTTAGATGTCCTTAACTGTTCATTTAGTTCTTTAGATGGGTGGAAATTCCTTACCGGGTACCATATGATGGGCAGGTGAGGAAATAGTTAAAAAGATCCCTGGTATGTTTGGACCAGTGCCAGACCTAAAAAGATCAAAATTAACTCTTTTTATATCAGAAACAACTTTTTAAAATAATGTTAAAAACAGAATTTTAAAACTCAAAAATAATAGTTTTTATTTTCAAACTAGTCAAAATAGCAGAAAAAGAAAGATAATCGACTCAGTCAAGGGCGGATCTAAGATTTTCTCGGGGGGGGGGGGGGGGGGGTGTTTGATTTTTAACAACTTTTCCAACAAAAGTTTTATCAACCTTTTCTTTAGGACAACCAAACTCGTTTTCCGAGCTCTACAAATCAATATAAAACGAAAACCCTATTTTGTCACTAATTTGGAAGGTTTTGACCGAAATATTGCGTTTTTCGGAGCGGGCTCCCACTCGAATCTCTGAAAAAGGAAACCGTTTACCACCCCCCACCCCCCCCCCCCCCCCCACTTCGCCTGCTAAATCAGCTACTAGTCTCAATTCAAATCCCATATAAACCATACAAAAATTTTCATAAATCTTAAAAGCAATTTGAAACAGAGTATTTTAAATTCCATGAAACATTATCTTAATAAACCTCTATTCAGTTTGCCGTCTGAAACTGTGTAGTTTAGAAGATGCCTCGCTCTTCCCAAGATATCCGCCAGTTTGTTGTCAGTAGACAGCACATCGGAACTTAGAATCGCATTCAGCACCTAGAAAGATGTTGATGAAGTAATTTGTTAAGTTAAGATAATATCTTCGCTTGCTCGCTATACTTTGAGATCATCTCTGAGTTACTGACTACAAAGAGGATGGGCGGGGATGTGTATAGTTGCGGGGTGCAAAAAACTGAGAAGGGACGGTTTGCGGGGCCATATCTCTTCTATATATGTTTCCTGGAAAGCGTTTTGTTTTTTGGTTTTTTTGCTCGAAAAAAAACTTTAAGCTATTCAAAACATTTCGGTTCAAAGAAATTTGAGCATTTTCGAATATTGCGATATTATGTAAATATGAGCATAATTTCCGAGAGCAGAAGAATTGATGCGGATCAACTTACCGATTCAAAGTGTTCTTTGAATTCGTCTTTTGTAATCTCAGACATTATTGCGATTGGGCCTTTTAAATCTCTCAAAATTTTATAAACCAGTTGAAAAGATATTCGTCGAATGAATGCCTTTCAAAAAATCATTACTTCGCCCTTTTTCGATGAATAAACAAACCCGTTAACCCAATTTCAAATGAGGTAGAGTAATAATTATTGAAAGCTACCGCATCATATAGCAGAGTCTCACCTCATTGCATGTTTATGTGACCTGAATTGAAAAGTGTTCAGCCTAATAATAACTTCAAAGCCGCGTCAGTGTTGGTTTTGAGAAAAAAAAAAAACAAACCCTTGCTCTTATGATGTCTCGATTGACACGTCACCTCAGATAGAGCATGCTAATTGAACCACTTGCTGGCCAATACACTCCCGAAAATTAACTTTGGTATGATAACAAGAAGTAACGGACAACAAAATCAGGTTGAAACGGCAGATTAAAACAGCTATTTTAAACTTGTCAAATCAATATACTTGTCAGCAGTAGCAGATTCCCGGATTTAAGTGGGGGTAGGTATGGTTGGATGGAGTCCTTCAAAGATTCGACCTACTGACCACCCTTAGTGTCCACCTTTGGCACTTTTTTACGACATACATTTTTGATCGACTGTTGATTTCTGTAAAGACTTCAGTGACGGGCACTGAAAAATTATATTAAGATCAATTTTAGCATGAAAAAAAAAATTTTTATATTAAACTCAGATACTATAGGTTGATTTGAATCAATTTAAGACTGATTTCAAATTATCTTAGATCCCAGCAAAAACGGTCGAGAAAAAATTGATTTAAATTGACTAAAATCCAAGTTTTCTAGTCATGATTTCTGAATTTTTGATTTCAGGGGGATTAAAACGGATTCTATCGATTTTGTTTTCTAAATATTTTGTTTTATCAGTTTTCGATCCATTGATGGTAAAATTAATAAAAGCAGCTCGCGAATCAATTTTCTCTCCGATCAAGTCGTACCACACGGACCTAATTTGAATTTGAATGATATCGTTTTTTTCTCATTTGCTCATATCCTGTGACTAATCGAATTGCATGCGTCATACTAAATTTAGCTTATGATTTTGACCCAAGAACCTTAGAACATTCTTTTCCATTTGAACGACATAAAATTTTTTTTTGTCTGAGCAGTCAACTTTCATCCTACACAATTGGTCGATGTTTAATTTAGCCAATTGGTCGATGTTTAAAAAATGTTCAGATTCTTTCCTTTATTTCAGTATTTAAATATTCCTTCTTTTATTTCTACTGGTTTCTTTAAATGTACGATTGATTTAAACAAAAATCTCGAAACCGCATCAATCATGAGCATGTGTTTTCTGTTCGTTTTAGTGTCTATCCATTCAGCTAGATCAATGGCCGCGGAGTCAATGAAATCTATGCTTCTGTGTGTCGAAAGACTCCTAATTTTCCCAACTCTTCCTGTATCATTGTATGCTTTACAATTTTCCATTAAATGGTCAATCACTTCAACATTTTTTCTTCTTTACCGTCATGTTTTCTTTCAGATCTAACTTTTCAATCATTCTTAATAATAATTTATTGCTTCTATGGCCAAAATTTAGATGCCAATGTTTGACACTTTTTCATTATGGTTCGCATGACTGACTCGTTTCCTCGAAAATGTTCGTTTTTCCAACCCTTGCTTTCTCCCTTTTATTCTCAATTTTTGTCTATCTACAATAACTTTTCATATTTTATGTCTGCCTGTTCCCTTTCTCAGTTTCAGCGTCTCTTCGGGCGTTATCATCAAATCGTTGGGAAAAAGTCTAGTTAAACATTCATCTTATCATTTTCCTCGATGCACAACATTTAAATGTTCCCTTCGTTTCGATGTTCCCTTTGTCTTGATTTTCCTGGTTTTAAATTGGTTCCAACCCTCAGGTTTTAAGCATCTTTCGATCTTCAACCATTGTTCTAATGACATAGTTGACATTGCTGCTCCAGAATCAACTATCATATACACTTCTACTTCATCATTTTGCTCTTGAAATCCAATCTCTCTACTTTCTTCTCTTTCTCAATCTCGGTCCCCAGCGATGTTTCCACTTTTTTGTCCAAGTTTTTATAGTTTTCTTGGTGTACTTCTTCCTATGTTCCTCTTTCCTCGTTTTGTCAAGTCTGGAAGTTTTGATTACGTCGCTTGACGAAAATTCCTTCAATACTGTAGTTTCTCACTTTTGTCGTGTACCCTTTTTGATTTCCGCTTGTACCATACTGTTATTAACAATCTCGCATCCAATCGTACTTTGATCCCAACCTAAAGCAACCTCGTTGCCCCGAACTTTAATTTCTTCCTCTTTTCGACAGTGCTCCTACATTTGCATAATGATTTCCACTTCTTCTCACGTTTGCATTTCTTTTCTTTTATGACCATCTTTTGTTTTTTTTCCTGCGAATAGGATATTGGGTGTGGTATTCTCAGACATTGTAAAATAACTCAGTATCAGTTTGAGTAACCCTCGGTTTCATGCAATTCTCTCCGTAAATTCTCCTTGCAATTTGTCGATTTTTTATTTTCGTTGCCTCATCCAAATTTGATCCTACCATCAGTGCTGAGCATTAAATTTTATCACTTACTAACATGTCAGATTCATTAATTTCGGTAATTTCTTTTGTAAGTTTTTACCACCGTGATCAATGCATATATGTCTCTGAAAGTTTCAGATATGGAATCGGCGTAAATACTCCTCCAACACTGCTATTAAGCGTCGGATCCTTTCCGCAGAATGTGCATCCCTGTCCATGTTCTTGATAATCTCTTCAATTTCTGGATTCGTTATGCTGTTCATGATCTCGTGTGGAGCTTGCAAGTTTGCGGGAGTTTGTGTGCATCCACGCCACCATAACAGGTCTCCTTCCACCAATGATATTATTCAACATTGTTACTTTCAACACGGGCATATTCACTTCCTTAATCTGTTTTTGATTTTGTCTTCTAGGATCCCGGTTCTTTTTCAATTCACATTCAGTTTCATCTAGTCTTTGTTTCAACTTCTTTATCTCCTGTTTTGCTGCTTCGTTACCGCCAACTGTTGGTTTTCTGATTCTTCCGTTGTTACAGACGATCGATTTGTTACCGTTCTCTGTTTCCGTACAAATTAACTGCTGTCTCCCTTATGTGTCTCTCAATCCTCTCCCTCAGTCTGTTCCTTCCTGTTTCATGTGGTCATTCCTATTGCAATACTTCTTCCTGATATTCTGCTCGACATCAACTTAAATTTTCTTTGTTTTAACTTCCCGATCCAATCTAAGCAAATTGTAAACAAAGATCAACGTCCTGATACCATGTTGAAACTTCGCTTGTTTGATACTTGTGTAATATGTTCATTCTCATAGAGAATGCTTAGTTCTTTCAGATGGCATACGCTACAACTGACCGTGAAGACCGTCAAATGTCTAGATTTGGTCACAGCCAATTTTTTCACAATGAGTTAATCTATGTCACTTAAAGCGAGAAGATGTGGAAATTGTGAGTAAAATCGGATAGTGTTATGTTTTTTTTTCAAATAAAAATTTAGTAGGTTCAGAAAACAAATAGGCCCTGAGAAACGTAAAAAAAATCTGCAATTTGTAAATAACTTGCTAAAACTCATACATAAAATAATAAATGATAATCCGTTTCACTTGATTTTCAATGGATTATGAAACTATTAAAGTTTGAAAATTCTTGACCACATTGGATTTAAAACACATTTCAATTTCTAAATTTTTATTTGTAAACCTTTTTAAGGGAAACATGAAATCTAAACTAATCGAATGTTTCTCATGAAACTCCAAAGAGTACAAACAATTTTGTCGAAAATCATAATAAAGCTTCCTTGCTATATTCCGAGAAAAAAAGTCATGGGGAAATCAGTGGTCCAGACTTTTTCTATTTGAATAAAACTTTGTAATATACCTCAACGCTTGATAATTTGATAGCCATTTATAGTTATAAAGAAGTCGCAAACCACTGTAGCTCCAAACCGAACTTATTCCGCTCGTGCGCTGATTGCGCTTTCATTAAGATAACATAACGAGGCCAACTGTGCACTGGATAGGCGCACAAATTGGTGTCTGTAGATCACTGGAATCGCGAGACAAGTATTCAATCATGTTTCACAATGTACATAGATTCCACTTAGTAAGGTTCTGCGGATTCCGCACAAAAATACGTGGACGTAAATTTTCTCAGCGCATTAGTTTTTTCGCAGGTTCGGCAACGAGCGAATACTGCTAGTTGTTCCGGATTCTGCAAATGTAAGCAGATTTCTAAATGTAACTGGGTTCCTCAAATTTATGCGGATTCCACCTAAAATTTGAGGATTCTTCTTGCAATCTGCAGATGTCTTTAAAAGTTGCGGATTCCACGACAGCGTAATTTTACTACACCTATACATTATTATTTGATTAAGGATTCCTTGAACTGTTCCCAATTTGGCAATTGTTATTGCAGATTCCGCAAATTTTAATGCCGATTTCAAAAAATTGCCTGATTTTAGAGCATTTTGAGCAAAACTGTTTTTGAGCTATTCGTTCATAGAATCCAAAATAGCAGAGAGGAACAAAGAAAAAAGCAATGTTTCGGGTTCCGCGAAAAATCTGTTTTCAGTTTGTTGCAGATTCCGCTAACATTTCACAAAAAAACACAATTTGGTCTCGTAATTACAAATGAAACCCTACCCAGGGGATTTTCTGTGCAAGATCTGAAATTATTTATTTCTTACATAAGTTGATTCTCAGATCTGAAATTCTTTTTTTCAGACCTTGATAAGAATTTAAAAATTTCAGATCTGAAATTTGGATCTGAAGTGGAAAATTTCAGATCTGAAGTAACCTTGAAAAACAAAATTTTAGACCTGAAATCAGATCTGAGAAATCCTTTGTTGAATTATAATTTATGCATTTCAGGCAGAAATGGAGCTTTTATTTTTTGATGTTTCTGCAATACACAATTATTTTTAGATTACCTAGCGGTCAGAAAAACTTCAGAATATTTTCACAAACAGTTTTTT